TCTTCCCTCATTCTCAAGTGTGTGTGCCACGATTCAAAAGGAAGAAACTCGCAGAAAAATCATGATTGTGGAATTAAAGGCAAATATACCAGAAGCTAAGGTATATCTTTCTAACCACAGAACTAGTGAAGAGAGGGGCTACAAAGGAAAGAAACCTATTGTGAAATGTAGCTACTATGATACTGGTGGACATACACGAGATCATTGCTGGATTTTCACCCGGAGCTAAGGCCCAAGTCTTTGAGGGACAACAACAAGGGTTTCCTTAAGAGTTCACACAACTCATCCTACAAGGTAAATCATACCGTCACCACTCAATCCGAGGGAGCATAGAAGTTCACCTCCAATCCAGCCAACCTGATCAATGAATTTTCTGCCTTCCTCTACAAGAAACAAGGTCATGGAGATAATGAAGGATCAACTAATCAAGGTGACAACAAAAAAGCTGCTCTACTCGAACAATTTGCTGGTTTTTTGGCTGAAAATGAAGGTGTGACACAATAAGATATTCCAGGTATCTTACAATCCTTCTCAACTGCTATCAAAGTAGGTAATGTGCATGATTATTGGATCATAGATTCAGGAGCTACTGATCATATGACTAACAAGTCTACAAATCTGCATAATTTTGAAAAACTCTCATGTCCATCTTAAGTGTCAGTTGCCAATGGCAAGGGTGCTATGGTGGTAGGGAGAGGGAAAACACATTTGATTTCTACTGATGTTGAGTCTGAGGCTTTTTAAGTTCCCTCTTTCGCTTTTCAACTCTTATCTGTTGGAAAAATCACAAACTCACTAAACTGTCTTGATATTTTCTCCCCAAAAACTGTGGGTTTTCAGGATATCACCACCAAGAAGACGATTGGTGAAGGTTTTTTCTTAAATGGTCTCTACTACTTTTCCAAGCATGTCCAAACTCCCAAGGTTTGCCAAGTCACTTCAAGTCTGGTTCAAGAACAACAACTTTGGCACCAACGACTTGCGCAACCTTTTGATAAAGTTCTATCCTTTTTGTTTCCAAACCTGTGCAAAGTTACAAGTCCCTATGATGTTTGTCACTTCTCTAAGTTCACTAGATTACCTTTCACTTCCTCCTTGTCTAGGGCTAGTAATCCTTTTGAAATCGTGCATTCTGATGTTTGGGGACCAGTCCTAGAGTCCTTTGACGGATACAAATATTTTGTAACTTTTATGGATGATTTCACAAGGATCACTTGATTGTATCTTTTAAAATTTAAAAGTGAAGTGCTGAAAGTTTTTCAAGATTTTCATAGACTTGTAAACACACAATTTTCTTCAAACATTCATGTCTTACGATAAGATAATGGCTCTGAATATATGTCCCATAACATGTCTCACTAACTAAGCACACATGGTATATTACATCAAACTAGTTGTGTTAGAACACCTCAACAAAATGGGGTAGCAGAAAGGAAGAATAGAGATCTACTTGAAAAAACTAGAGCTCTTATGTTTCACTTGAATGTGCCTAAAAAGTTCTAGTCACAAGGTGTTCTTACTGCTGCATATCTCATTAATAGATTACCTAGCAAGATATTGAATTTTAAATCACCTTATGAGGTATTGAAAGATAGACAGATCAATTTGTCCCATTTGCGAGTATTTGGATGTACATGCTTTGTTCACATTTAAGCACCAAATAGTGACAAACTAGATCCCAAGGGCTGCCAAATGTGTTTTCCTAGGCTATTCATCCACTCAAAAGGGTTACAAATGTTAAAATCCAACAACTCGGAAAATAGTTGTTTCAAGAGATGCGAAATTTGAAGAAACCATGTCTTACTTCACTCAACCTCTGGCCTATTCTAGAGAGGGGGAGAATTTGCTTGATTTGTTCCCAATACCATATCCCAGTGAAAAGGATACAACAGATATTTCAAGGGACCAGGTATTGAATGAGGATGCTTTTAGCAACCTGCATAATTCTCCGCATGTGGTCCCTGAAGAACCTATCCCATCATAACCCTCAAGTAGTCCTTCCAAACAAGAAACGGCTCAATTGCAAGCAACTCAATCTCCCACAGTTCGTCGAAATCCTCCCTGTGAGAGGAAACTTCCATCCAAGTTACATGATTATGTAACTTACAATGACAAGTACCCCTTGACTTCTGCTATTAATTATAGCAAAGTTTCATCCTCCTTTGCTACATTCCTCAATGCAATTACTGAAACTAATGAACCACAAAGCTTTCAAGAAGCTAATCTACATCGTGAGTGAAGAGTTGCTATGGCGGAAGAGCTTCAAGCTCTTCATGAAAACAACACTTGGACTATAGTGAAACGTCCCAAAGGGAAGAAGGCTGTGGGAAGTCGTTGGGTATACAAGACCAAGTTCCATTCAGATGGCATGATTGAAAGGAACAAGGCTCATTTGGGTGCTCGAGGATTTACACAAACCTATGGAGTGGATTACAAGGAGACATTTGCTTCCGTGGCAAAGATGAACAATGTGAGGGTGCTGTTATCTGTTGCTATTAACAATGCATGGCCTCTCTTTCAAATGGATGTTAAAAATGCTTATCTGCATGGCGAACTTGAAGAAGAAGTTTTCATGAAACTGCCTCCAGGTCATCCTTAATCAAAGAATCCAGAAATAGTGTGTAAACTTCATAAATCCATTTATGGTCTTAAGCAAAGTCCACGTGCATGGTATGCCAAGCTCAGTCATGTTCTAGAAAAAGTTGGTTTATGTCAGAGCAATGCTGATTCTTCCTTATTTGTGCGTTCAAGCACATCGGGTAAACTTGTGGTGCTTATTTGCGTTGATGATCTCATTTTGACAGGTGATACTATGTCAGAGATTAGTGCTCTTAAACAATATCTCAATCACAAGTTTGCTATCAAAGATCTCGGCATTCTTAAATATTTTCTAAGGATCGAGATGGCACACTCTCACAAGGGTTGTTTTCTAAATCAGCGCAAGTATGTTATTGATCTTCTTCATGAGGCCAACATGACAGATTTAAACATGCTCGCACACCTTTGAATAGTAACTTAAAGCTGCAATCTCATGGTGATCTCATTCCCAATATAGAGTACTATCAGAGATTGGTCGGCAAACTCATTTATCTAACTATCACTCGCCCTGATATAGCATATGACATGAGTCTTGTTAGCCAGTTTATGCATGCTCCAGGCATGGATCACATGAATATTGTTCATCGTGCGCTTCGATATCTGAAGGGCTCCATTGGTTGAGGGATTCTCATGCGCAACAATAATCACACTCATATCTCAGGATATACAGATGCAGATTGGGCGGGGAACACTCTCGATCGCAAGTCTATCACTGGTTTCTGCACCTTCGTAGGAGATAACCTAGTCACCTAAAGGAGCAAGAAACAAAGCGTGGTTGCACGCTCTAGTGCAGAAGCAGAATACCGTGCTATGGCTTCGACTGCTTGTGAACTTATTTGGCTCAAGAAAGTCATCTGATTTCATGTGTTTAGCGATTGTGCTCTTCATCGTTAGATACTAGATAGTTGGGTTTGTAGGCTTATTTGGGAGCATAACTGGATCCCAAAAAGTTTGAATCTTTATTCACTTTAACCTGCCATTTTGGATTGCCGTAGAAAATGAAAATGCTCTTAGTATGGACCAGCAAAAAGTTTGTAGGCGCACTGGCACCGTTTTTCATTCAATAATCGAATTTTAGGTCCTACGCGACTCTAATTATCTCTTTAGTATGTTACTGCCCATGCTTCATCCTGTTGTTCAAACTGTATGGCTGCTATAACTTAAAACTTGTCAATGCAACTAACGTCTAATAATGGTTTTTTTCTGCGTAGTATGGACCAGCGAAAAGTTTGTAGGCACACTGGCAGAGGATGAAAACAACGTCTCGGGAGGGAGTTTGGTGTTAGAACAACTCAAATAACAATATATAATGTATAATAATTGCACAGTTTATGTTAAAATATAATTCCACTAACCACATATGAATAACTAATAAAGTTGTAAATGATTTTTTTTTTTTTTAAAAGAAGTTGTAAATATAATCACTAACGTAGTAGTTCAGGAACGGACGTCTACATTGCGCGAATTGATATGTGTTTCTCTATGGTGCAGGATACAACCCATCTTTGACATTTAATACATACTCAAATTCATCCCAAAGTCCAAGACCCAAGGTCCATGGATTCAGCCCAATTTCTTTCAGGCAAGGTGAATGAACTCAGTTAAAAAGAGGGATTGGTGAATATTGATGGGCGATGTGGGACAATGGTTCCTCACAAGTTCCAACATTTAGATACCAATAGTTTTAGCCGGGAACAAAGGTACAGTGATCAAATTGAAGTTGTGTAAACTGTCATACAAGAGTTTATTTCATTTTCGCTTTGTTTACTAAGTTTTCAGTTGTGAATTTTTTGTCACCACCATAATATTTTAGATGGTGTGTAAAACAAATCAATTTGTTTCTTTGACGTGCTTCTTGTTTTTTTTTTGTTTATGCGGATATTTTTCAGTAAACTCATGAAACTCAAGAATCATAATGGTTCTAGTTCCTATTCTATATAAATAAGCATGTCATATTATATGAAATCATAAAAATATTGGATTGAGGAACCATTTAGTGCTACTATCTAATGATATTTTTCTAGATTTGTAAGTGATAATTCTTAGGTTCGATTCTCCCCAAAGACGAATTTGAACCACATAATTGATAGAGTATTATGAGGCTTAGTTTACTCCCACATCCCCTTAATGTAAATAATATCATTTGTTCAAAATAATAATAATAATAATAGATTGAGGTTTGAAATTTCCTCATTCCAAATGGACCCCAATTTATGACTTCCTTTAGTCTATTAGCATTATATCATCAACGTAAATGGATATTATGATACAAGGTTGGCTTGATCGCCAAAGTTCCTCATGTAATGTATTTCATACTATAATTGTTTTCAAATTTTAAGTCATTACGAATGTTGAGTCTCAATGAACTAGGAATTACAACATTACCTAATTGTCTTAGGAAAATGAAACATTTGAGATATCTTGATCTTAGTTGGAATTGCAAGATCAGGAGACTTCTAGATTGGATAGTTGAACTTTCGAATTTGAAAACACTGGATCTCACAAGGTGTGTTCGTCTTGTGAAATTGCCTAGAGACATTAAAAAAATGATCAACTTAAGGCATCTCATGTTGGATGCGTACGTTAGATTGACTGGAACGCCACGTGGAATTGGTGAATTGAATGGTGTTCGTACATTGAATAGATTTGTTTTGAGCGAAAGCATTTGTTTGGGGAGGGGCGGTGGTGCTGGTCTTGGTGAGCTGGGGAGCCTTAAGGAATTAAGGGGACATTTAGAAATTGATAAGTTGAGGGATGTGGTGTCAGAATCAAATGTTGGTACACCTCTCAAGGAAAAACAGCATCTCCATTCGTTGAAATTGTGGTGGAAATATGGAGAAGATGTAAAGGCAGTTGATGAGGAAGATATTATAAAGTCAATGGAAGTATTGCAACCCCATTCAAATCTAAAGCAGTTGCGCGTGGAGCATTATGGTGGTGTGAGGTTTGCGAGTTGGTTTTCTTCTCTCATAAATATCGTTAATCTCAGATTGTATTTATGTGAGAGATGCCAACATCTTCCACCCTTGGATCTTTTGCCTTCCCTTAAGTCTCTTGAGCTTTGGAATTTGGGGAACTTGGAGTACATATTACTATCAGAGAATGAAAGCAGTAATAGTATGAGTGATGAGATGATGAGGATGTCATTCTTTCCCTCCCTGGAAGAGCTCCGCATACTTGGTTGCCCTGTTCTGAAGGGACAGTGGAGGGCGCACACTCATAACAGTGCTTCTTCTTCTTCATCAACGGAAAATATGTCGTTCCCTTCTTTTCTCTCTCTTTCTCAATTGATTATCAGGGGTTGTCCTAATCTAACTTCCATGCCTCTGTATCCAAATGTGGATGGAATAGAACTCGTGAGGAGCAGCTGGAAGGTTGTTGATTCCTTGTTTGTTAGAGGAGCATCTGATATTACACATGATGTTGGTGTTGATGTTTCTGCCTCTTCTTCCCCTCCTCTATCCAAATTAACAAGTCTGACACTTTGGGGAATTGAGGATTTGGCATTTCTGCCAGAAGAAATAAGCAATCTCACATCACTGCATGAGCTTATAATTACACAATGCTATAATTTGGCATCACTACCAGAAGGGATTCGTGGACTTCCCTGTTTAAATACATTGAAAATTAATTGGTGCCACATGTTAAGCGAAAAATGCAAGAAAGAAACAGGTGAAGACTTGCGCAACATTGCTCACATCTCACACATTACTATTAGAGACTAAGGTGCGTTTTCTAACTTGTTTCAATTTACACTCACCTAATTCAATATAAACTATGAAATATATGTCAATCTCGTTTCTTAATCTTATTCTTCATTCATCATCACCAGCATTTTATTTTTCTTTTCAGATGACATACCATGTGGGGATGAAAGATTTCGTTGTCCACACTTTTGCTTTCTCACCCACCAACTTCAATTATGTTTTTTCTTTCTAATTTCTCTTTAATTTCCTTCTTTTCAATTTTATGGGATGTCAACCTTTTGGATTCAATATGTGATCCCCATGTTGACTGGTTAGAGTGGTTGTATACGATTTTTCTTTTGATCGTCGGGGTTTAGGTACTACTAGCAAAAATTGTCCGCGCGCGATACTATGGGTTTGAAATGCAACCAGTTCTTGCAATCAGTAAATATGGTTGATAAGTTGTCAATAGTCAAAAAAACATGTTGGGCAGGATAGGCAGATTTTATTAGTTTACTCTAAATGACTTCAACTTCTCCAAAAGGTTTGCTTCTAGACTTACATATCACTCAATAGTTTTGTTAATTGGCCCTAAACTCTTAGTAAAAAAATAGGCAACTCTAATTAACAATTGCTAATCAAACTGCAGAAACAACATAGCAAGCTTCAACTGTGTTCAAACATCTGAATCAACAGATTCAAAGGTCTTGAAATGCATTATTGTTCAAATATCTGAATCTACAAATTCAAAGGTCTTGATATGCATTATTAACCAAAGGCTTCCATTACATTTTAATAAAAATTTCCGTAATGGACTGCAATTTAGATACAATTTGAAAGATCAAATTCAAACATTGAAGCACTAAAGCACTCTAAGAATTTAGATAATGCTTGAAAGATGAAATTCACACACTAAAACCAACCTACAACAGATTCACATGAGTCACAATAGGAACTTACCAACCAAAACTTTACTGCAGCCAAACGCTAGGTCTTTTCCATTAGTTAAGTAGAGTTTACATAGCTGTATTGACATTGAAATAGGGGAAATAAATCAATAATCTTAATTTTTTTAAGGAACTCAAAAATATTTCCCAACTTGCTTGTTTTCAAGTAGCCCACTTCAAACACGATAGAACTTTGATGTGACTATCCCATCATGCCACCTATAGAAAATACCAATTGATAAAGAGTCAATATTCGATAAGTTTATCTCACAATTATTTGATTTAAACCGATTCGTTTCATATGGTTCATCACATAAGGGGTTTTTGAGAAATCCAAGCAACTAAACTACTGGCAATATTTGAAGATAAATCTCGAAATGGTATGCAATTCAATTGACAATTGAAAGGGTTGAAAGGGAAGTAATGGTACTGGTGATATGAGGATACAATCAGAAAAGCATTGAAATGCTTAGCTTTTAGTCTAACACACTTTTCTTCTATTGAGTATCGATGCATTTTTTTTTTACATATTTCCCTTGCTTTTCACTTTTATCTTTCACATATCTCCTTCGCCTGTTTTTTCTCCGCTTTTTTCCCCTCTGTGTTTCTCTCGGTCAGGATTCTCAGCCTCAGTTGTGCTCCAACCTACCTTCCTTTCTCTCTCAAAAGGTAACTTATGTCGCTCATCTCCCGACGGACTACCAGTCATGGATATCCCACATCAAATCCAAATAAGAGGAATAAACAACTTAAAAAGCTGCAGCATTGCTACTTGCTAGTCTTCCTACATGATCTAAGAATATAATTAATTAAATAGATATAGGATCACATTGACCATAAAGTATTACATGCAACTCAAACTAAAAATAGGAGAGAGACTTGGTGGAAAACTCGAAATCCCTCACCCAACAAACTCAATGCGCAATTAGATCATCAGGCTTCATGTCATATTGTTCTTTGTTTAAGAAAACCTTTTTTGCCACTTAGCACACATTTGGCAGCCACGTGGCACAAATGTGGTAACCACGCCAGTTCTTAATGGATCAATGGATGAAAAATATAACGGATGTATTATATAAGAACGTGAAATGTTTTAAAGATGTAAGGAATTGAAATCGACCCTAAACCTGATGTGGTAAAGTGTAATTTACCCTAACTTTTACTAGAATTGGAACAAGTAATGTGATGTTCGTTCACCTGTGTTTGGTTGTCGCCTTGTTGATATCATTGTCACTGCCCTATCCATGGCTGGTTAGCTTCTCAAATTTTTTGCATTAATTCGTTTCCTTTAAAGATTTTTTTTCTTTTGGTTAAAAGTTGTGGGTTTTCTTTTAAACATAATTAATGTACAGTTAAATGGGCATTTAATTAACAGAAATCCCCTTAGAATATGTCGTTAAATTGACACTTCCATTTGAAAACACACTTAGGGCCATCAGACTCTATTTTCTATTAAAATCCCTTGTCTATTAGAGAGGAGGGCTAACGTCTCTCAAAACCATTGACACTTCCATTGGGTGACCGATGGAGGTAAAAATTGGGGGTCTACACGCTTTTTCATCGTTGCTTTTATTGAAGTTTTCATCTTGAAGCAACTCTCCTTCTGTAGAAAGGACAAGTTTTCCATCTACCAATGATATCATCCAAGATGATTTGAAGTAATCAAACCTTGTATTCGAAATTCTAACAAAGTAAAATATGGAAACGGTTATGACATAGACTTTCATCAAGCTACAGTATGAAACCAGGCAAATTAAAATTCTTAAAATAGCTTTTGAAGTCACATTTCATACCTAACGTCCCAACATAATGCAAATCTAGCAGCGGATCCAGCAAATACTGAGTGAGAGCCCGGGTTGAAACACAAAGTCTTTATGCCTGCAATGAAAATTTGAGACTAGATTTATGTTCTCTCTCGCGAATATAATGTCCATATCACTCCAAGGGAAAGGATTACTCAAAACCCATAAATATGTTATTTAGAATATTGATAGTAAGTGCAACACTTCCAAACAACTGCAATCAAAATCCTTATCCTTTCGCTTTCACATGAATATATTTTATTCAGTGAGGACAAAAGGACACAAATAGTAAGACTACACCCAGCGGTTATAAGAGATGACAAACAAATATGAGACAGTGCAATTATGACTTACATGATCCCATTTGCAGTTTCATGAACTAGAACTACTCAAAATTATATGGACAGAGTATAGTGTATCTCTGTCGATATGTACGACAGAATGATCAGATATACTAGACTGAGCGGCGGAGGATGAAAAAAGAACGTAATTAGTGTCCTCATAAGCTTTCAAATTTATTTTAGTTTTATGTATCAGAAGTTATAACTGGAATGTAGGTGTCCCTCATAACAATGGTAGAACATGCATAAAATGTAACCTGAGGAATCATCTGATCATAAATTCGCAACCTGCTCGCCAGATGAAAGTCCAGATATTGTGATACCACCAAGAGATGAACCACTAAGTATCAACTGATCATCACTCGAACATAAGCATGTTACTGGCCTTGCATGCGTTCTGCAATCAGAAATCAAAAGAAATCCATAAACCATTGAGCAGCATATAAATTCATATTACAGGAAATACTGAACATTTTATGCCAGAAGAGAAGTTTATTCTAAATTCTAACTTATATTTCCCTTTTTTTCGTTTTACGGCAAGAAATTTTTTGCCTCCAGAAATTTAAATACATGTCTACAAGTCAAAAGGTATCTTCTTAAGCTATATAAATTCCCTGTATTCTTTACAAGAAACATGAAACAAATAGAAACACCAATCTGGAAGCTACATTACATTCCTTGCAGTACACACCTAATGATTTGAGAACATATTTTACATGTCAAATACACGAGCTGTCCCATCCTCGCATCCAACCACAGCCTCAGGATCGCAGTAAACAGAATGTGAAAAACAAACACCAAAAGTAAACCTCCAAAGGCAATAACCCGTTCCAAATTATGAGTTAAATTACGTTTTTAACCTTGGGTTTATCCATTCGGCCCAAATCATTGGGCTATTCTAGCACCAGCCCAACGACTCGGCCCAGTCTTTTCTTTCCCCTTTTTCCTTCACCTGTGAGATCTGTCCCTTTCTCTTATCATTTTCCTTCTCAGCAAACTCTCTAAACCACCGAGCACCATCTTTCACAATCATCACCTTCCTCAGTCAAATCCAACTCGAAACCACCAGATTAGTCATTTGGGTGACCTGGGAATCACAGAGATGGCTCTGCATGTTCCGTCTGATAACTCGATGTGGGGGCTGATCGGGGCAGCTCTATGTTTTTCCGGCGAAGTTCGACTAAAGAACGACGTTTCAGTCGTTGATTTGACCTGAGAATCATTCCTATTCGACCCCAGGTTTTGGACTCGAATCCGAGATTCTAACTCGTGTAGTCTTTCTGTTCTTCACCCCAGGTTCAGGTGTGGAGCTCCGGCGAGAAATCCATCGAGCTTGGGGATCCATCGAGCTAAACATAATTTGACCCAAAAAAATGTAAAACATAATACTAAATTAGTATATACATACTAAATTTCGGAGTTGGCCCCTTAATGAAATTTATAAAGTTTTTACGAGTATTATATTTTTCACACTTCTACAATAATTATTATTAATTTTATTAATTTTTCACTCAAATAAATAACATTGTTCATGAGATTTGGAGGGTTTTAAAAATCTAAACGACCATGTAACCTTACCAATGGAACTCAAAACTTACATGTTATTCCTTTTACAAAATCCTCAATTTTCATAGATCATCATGATATAAGATTTTGTGGTATTCACTTCTGTAAATATTTTAAATTGACGATTAAATTAGTTCATTGTATTCATATAGGATCAAGGAGCGTAGATGTAAAAAATCATCAAAATTAGAGTTAAAATAATCATTAAATCGTGATTTTTCGTTTATAACCGTCGAAAAGTTTTGTCTCGTGATAGGAGCATATTCATGCGACTTAATTAGCTTGTTCTCGTGCATTTATGTTGTGTTTACTTAGTTGTTTTAGTGTTTAAGGCCACTTTTGTGTATTTTCAGATTATAAGGCCAAAGTGTGCAAGAAGATGT